AGCGATGACAGACAGCAGAACAAACAGGTTAGTCTGGAACAGCAAAACAAAGTTAACAGCAGTGGGTACAGGATCAGAGACTCAACTAAACTGCAAATCCCACTCCCAAACTGAAGCCAAGAACTACACTCCCCTCCTTTTTGAAATTCCCTGTGACTTTGGTGGCCCAGGGTCTCTTATTTTAACCCCGTAGATGGTTACTCCAAACACCTTTTTTCTTCTCTCCTTATTCTGCACTAATCGTGCAGTAATAAAGTACATGCAACTGTTGAAAAGTACAGGCAGCTAAAGGTTTTTCTGGAGTGCAAAGTATGATTGCAAGCTGCCCGACTTCTGCTGTATGTCATATCCTTCCACTGAGTTTACCTCTCAACACATTTAGATCAGTAAGAAACCTGAAGACGAAACACCTTAAGACAACGTCCATTCTGCATAGAATTTCCAAAACTATTTTGCAGCATAAGTAAGCAAAAAATATTTGTCCCAGTACAGTGAGGACAGAGACACTTAACAGACTTTGGTTACATATTTTATTTCCTCCTGGCTACTGAAACCAGAATACCTCTATTCATAAATCAGACAATACCTTCAGTTCTATAAACCATATGAAAAAACAGCAAAAGCAGGAGTAATAGGGTACTTGAAGAATGACAAGCAGAAGCAGTGGATAAAATTAAGTCCTACTTTCACATATGCCTTTGCAGTGTGCCATCTGTGCATATGTGAAACTTGGGATACGGATTTTAAACATATGAAAGAACTTTTCCTTTCTCAACTCATACGTGCAAAATTTTTCTATACTTCAGGAGAGAGTACTATGGGTAAGGCTACTTCTTTTGAGACAAATAAATATAACAGATTACACTCCTGACATCTTTAAATTTTAAGCACTTAATCCTACAAAGCAAGTATCAGGTCTTTAATGGCCAACAGAATCCCTGTTAATAACAATCTGCTCACTCAGATTTCTTTGTATCAAAATGGCTTAAATTAAAAATGCAGAAGACAAAAAGCTGAGGAAGAGATGGAAATAATGAGGGACACAGACTCAGTTCTGATCCAGATAGCTTTATAGCAGCTCCAGTAACAAGGACTTCCTAAAACATGCACAAAGATGCAATTGCTTTCCAAATTAATTTATCTGATGTACCATGGTTAGCTACCTAGGAAGGTGGACCAAAAATAAATCAAAGCTGTTTCACAAAACATGATCTTGTTTACTGAGGTTCAGAGAAAAATAATCACTCCTGAATGGACAAGAGCCAAAGAGCATTATTCTGCAAGCTCATTCCTTGAATTACAACATCTTATTACTAGTAGGCTTGACAGAAGCTTGACCATAACGTTATCATTTAAGGTTAGTTTTAACCTCAAGAAAACAATAATTAAAGTAGCTATTAGTACTTCTTCGAAGAGGATTAGGACTATTTTGTGTTAGACATACTGAATATAATCAATATTAAGAGGAACTATTTTCTTCTAGCTTTACAAATATCATAAAACCACAGATAAGAGATTTTTAATGTTAGTAAGCACTTTGAATGCGATTTGTTTCTCCTGTATAAACATAGAATTTAATATTTTTTTTTGAAATTAACTTCTTGCTCAGCACTCCAATGAATTAATACCATTTCTTATGCTTTTATCTAGATTATCTCAGTTTTCCTTTAGATTAAAACTACTTGGAGAAAAATAAAATTGGTAGACACAGGTATTTCATAAAATGAAAGCTTTTCTTCTATGTTAAACACAGGTCGCTGTCAACTAGAAATTAGCCAGTTCTATAAATGAAGCAGAAGCTGTTTCAAAATCTTTATACTACAAATTTCAATAAACTGTATTAAGGAAAACAAGAAGTACCTTTGTCCTCTTTCAACTGATGAAGAAATGGAGCTCCTGAGAGAAAAAGTTACTTGATCAAAGTCATAAGTCAAGAAAGATTTGGGAAAAAAAAGGGTGGGGAGAAAGGGAGAAGGAAAATTCACATACTAGTCTTATACTTTGGTACTGAAGTTGCAATAGAAACAATCAGTACAGCTACAGAAAAAGTTATATATAAAATCCAGACTCCTAATGTGATGGACTATAAAATCTTGAATAAATATCACACAGATTTTTTTCTAAAGAAACATGTTAGAACCATAGAAAAAAAGGAAGAAAAGGAACATTATAAATACACAAAACATGTATTGTAACTTCTAAATTTGTTCTAATAAGTTCTACCATACAAAAATGAGATCTTGTTCTGTTTTTTATTATATATATAGTTTATTTTTGACTGAATAACCTATTATTCAGACAATTCCATTGAAGAGGCAGAAAATAAAAATAATTCTTCTACATACAATCTAAAACACTACCACAATCTGAACCGTAACATTTGCTACTACATATCCAGTAATGGACAAGAGAATATATTGTAGCTTAGTGTCAAGTGAAAAACTCCTTTCTCTTTCTGTTGCATCACTGGTCAGCATTTTCATACAGTCATTGAGGTTGAAAGTGACCTCTTGAGACAATCTAATGCAATCCCAGGGCAGGGAACTGCTGGAGAGAGTCCAGCGTAGGGCTACAAAGATGATGGAGGGAGTGGAGCATCTCCCTTATGAGGAGCGGCTGAGGGAGCTGGGTCTCTTTAGTTTGCAGAAGAGGAGACTGAGGGGAGACCTCATTCATGTTTATAAATATTTAAAGGGTGAGTGTCACGAGGATGGAGCCAGGCTCTTCTCGGTGACAAACAATGATAGGACAAGGGGTAATGGGCACAAGCTGGAACACAGGAGGTTCCACTTAAATTTGAGAAGAAACTTCTTCTCAGTGAGGGTGACAGAGCACTGGACCAGGCTGCCCAGAGAGGTTGTGGAGTCTCCTTCACTGGAGACATTCAAAACCCGCCTGGACGCCTTCCTGTGTAACCTCATCTAGGTGTTCCTGCTCCGGCAGGGGGATTGGACTAGATGATCTTTTGAGGTCCCTTCCAATCCCTAACATTCTGTGATTCTGTGATCCCTTCCTCAAGCAGGGTCATCTACAGCAGGCTACCAAAGATCATATCCAGTTGGTTTTAAGTATCTCTACAGATGGATCACAACACCTCTGGATAAACTATACCAGTTTTTGACCATCCTCACAATAAAAAAGTTGTTTTGTGTTCAAATGGAATCTCCTGTTTTTTCAGTTGTGCCCACAGCCTCTTGTCCTGTCAGTGGGCACAACTGAGAAAGGTCTAGCTCCCTCTACCTCATTTCCTCCCATCAGCTATTTATAGAGATGGAGAAGATGCTCCCTGAGCCTTCTCTACTACAAGATGAACAGCCTCAGTTCTTTCCTCATAGAAGAGATGTTCCAGTCTTTTCATCACCTTCACAGTCTGGTCATACTGGACTTGGTCCAGTATGCCCATGTCTCTCTTGCGCTGGGAAGCCCAGAACCAGACACAGCACTCCAGGTATGGCCTCACCAGTGCAAGGAGAGGGGAAGGATCACCTTCCTCAGCCTGCTGGCAAGTCTCTGCCTAACACAGCACTGGACGCCATCAGTCTTCTTTGCCACAAGAGCACTTTGCTGTCTCATGATCAGCTTATTGTCCACCAGGATCCTCAGGTTCTTCTCTGCAGAGCTGCTTTCCAGGAAGTTGTTCCCCAGTGTGTATTGGTGCCTGTGGTCATTTCCCTGCATGGGCAGGACTTTGCATTTCCTCTTGTTGAACTTCATGAGACCCCTCTCAGCCCATTTCTCCAGCCTTTGAATGGCACCACTTGGTGTATCAGGCATTCCTCCCAGTTTTGTGTTGCCTGTGAACTTGATGAGAGTGCACTGTCCCATTGTACAGACCAGTCATTAAAATATTAAGCAGTATTGGCCCAAGTAACCACCCCTAGGGCACAACACTGATGATAAGCCTCTGGCTAGGCTTTGTGCCACTGATCACAACCCTCTGGGTGCAATAATTCAGCTAGTTTTCAATCCACCTCATCATCCACTTATCTAATATGTGCTCTGCCAACTTATTTTAAAATACATGTTCTACAGATGCAAATGTAAACATGTCCATAACTACTCACCTACAAGTAAAAACAGGTGTTCCACTTTATCCCAGTGAGAGAAGATCCCACCCATAGGTAAGCGAGGAAAAAAGTACTTCTTAAATTAGAATAAACAGGCAAAGGCAAATATGCTATTTTTAAAAGCCAAGACAGAGGTAACTAGTCTTAACTGCAGTGAAAAAAATGGAAACAACCCAAATTATGGCTTCACTTTGGCTCACACCTCTCGCCTTCTGAGCATTAGATATACATGAACTGTGAACAGCTGCAGAAATTCTTGAGGAACATTTATATGAATTAAACTATAGGAAAAAAAAGTATATTCTAATATTAGACACAGTGGTTGCTAGTGCATGGATGGTCTCCTCCAGGTTAAAAAAAAAATCACCATGCACTTTGAGGACTCTGCAGTAGCATAAACGTGGATGATAAGGCTCTGACCCTGTCATTCATTCTGCATTGGTAGACTGCTTGTTGTCCTGCTGCTCCTGCCAGTGAAGCTAATATCTAATGCCAGAGAGGAATTGCTTTCTCTTTAATATGCACACACAGGATTGATGCCCAAGCAGGCACCTAAAAAATATATGAAAGAAAAACATTAGCTCCACAATAATCAACTCTAATATCTGTTTACATCCTACATATATAGTTTATAAACATCCTTTTAGGAAAAGGCAAGTCAATGTACTAATTTTCCATATAGGTAGCAGCAATAGCAGTAATTAAACATTAAATACGGCACCTTACTAATTTTCTATCAATTGTGAGAGAACATTGTACCATATGCAGACCTGGAACACAACTGTCAACAAAAAAACCCACACAGAAGTAAAAATCAAATTAATTCATTTAATAAAAAAGTCACATACTTCACATGCAGCATTAAAACACTCTATATGAATGAGAGAAAAGCTTTTACTCCATAAAAATAAGTGATTTTAAAAAATTCACAAGAGACCCGACTTTGACCTGATTATAAAGGCTAAAAGCTTTTCTAAAGACTTTTCATCATCTAACACTTAAAAGCATGTTACTTTTCATTTGCTTAGACTAACTTTAAAACATTTGTATGAATACCATTTACTGACATAAAAGTGGAGACCTTCATGTGAGGTAAGATGTTAGCATTGAGCTATCTTACTTCTAAAATCCAGACAAACAGACACTGGGAAGCCCAGAACCAGACACAGCACTACAAACAGTAATTCTCACCAAGGCCAAACAACTTTGCTTATTACAAAGCACATAGGTAAGGAGAGATTTTTTTGCAGGCTTAAGGTCATGATACACAGCTTCTGTTCACAATGCTATATATTGTTGCTAGCAGAGCTAAAATTTAAGAGCATCAAAAGAACTAAGCATTTTGGTCTAAACATTAAGTTTTTATTATATCAAATCAAATTAGCCAAGGTACAGATATCAAGAAGGCAGTAGTTAGCCCTAA